GACATGTATCCGAGTCCATGTAACATAGCTTGGGAAACCGTCAAGGCAGCATTGAGTAATGGCATACATTATGCATAATAAGCTATGGCTTGGTGATTGCATGTGATGCATGAGATATTTATTGGAGTCTGACTCCCTTTTGTACCCGAGTCTTTAAGCCGAAGCAATGGAGGGAAGTGTTTAGCATCCAAACAAAGCACAAAGGTTAAAACATGCCAACAAAATGTTGTGTCTGAAAAAAAAAAAAAAGACAAAGCCTTGTTTAAAAAAGAAGAAAAAGGGAAAATTAAATCCAAGATTTGAATGAAATGGATGCACGGCTCTGTTACATGGACTCTTCAAAAATAGTGAAGTACTCATGTCGTACACATATCCCTCGGATATTGGTATGGGATATGTGTCGGCCTAAAAAGCCACTCAAAATAGCAGCAGGGGAAGAAAGCAACATTGATCCCCAGTCAAACAAAAACAACACATTAAGTAAACATGTGATGCAAATCTGAATGTGGGATTTATGCAGATTTTGCTCCAAATGTATGTTTTTTATTTTTATTTTTTTTATTAATTTTTATTTTTTCCTGAATGGGGTTAATTTTATAAATTTCAAAGGTAGTACAATTACAAAAGGAGAAAAATCTCCAAAAACTGGAAAGGAAATGAAATTCCACTTTCAGCAAAGCAACCAATATCAAAACATGAAAATTACAGACCAAAAACAATCAAAAGATCTGCTAAGCTGATATTTAGATATGTAATAACATCCCAAATAGTAGGTTGCACAACATAGGAGCTCTGTTCTTGAATCCCTGTATGGAGCATGGAATTCCTATTGGACCAAATCTTCCAAATAGTAACTGGGAAGATACCATTTAAAATCTTAGCTTTGAAAGTCTTGGACACAATGTGCTGCAAAAACCAATCCACAATGTGATTCAAACTTGAAAATCTTGGGACCTGAATCTGCAACGAATCAAAAACCCCACTCCAAATCTCTGAAGCAAAATCACAGTAACAGAACAAATGATCATTCGAATCATCCCCAGCAAAACAGTTATGACAAACAGATGCAACTTGCAGACCTCTTTTCTGTAAATTCACAAAAGATAAATTTTTGTTGTGTAAAATGATCACAACACTTAAAACTGATCCGAGGCCTACATTTTTTCCAACACAATCTAGCCCATTTGACCTTGTTTCCAGTAGCTCTGCAACAATTCCATGCTGCTTTCAGTGAAAAATTTCCATGATTCCACTTAATTTGATCCCTACCAGGTTGAATACTTATATGTATATGCTGAATAGCATTTTTCACATTTTCAGAAAACTCTTCAGGTAGATTCCAATTCCCATGTTGCAAAATAACAGACAAATTAGTTTGTCTGTCAAAACCTCTGAACCTAGTAGCCCCAAATAACTGAATAAGAGACTGATCTTTACCCCAAGGATCTGTCAACAATTTGAACTGTGTGCCATCTCCAACCTGAAACTTCACATTGTCAAGAAGCATCTCTCTTGCCCCCAACAGGTACTTCCAAACAGCTGAATCACTCACCTTTGGGACAAGAAGCCAGAAGCTAGTCTTATTCAAGTACACCGCCCTCAACCATTGAATCCAAAGTTTATCTTTCTGCTGAATATAATCCCAACACATAGTTAACTTTGCTGCATAGTCAATATCCCTAATCCTTCTAACATTAAAACCACCCTCTTTTGCAGGTAAGGTAACTTGACTCCATTTAATTTGAGCCATTTTCTTGGTGTTTACTTTACCATTCCATAAAAACTGTTTACATCTCTTCTCTAGCACATTTTTAACTTCCCAAGGAACCTTAAATCCAAAAACTCCAGTGATATAAATATGAAAATAACACTGATTTTATCAATTCCAGCCTCCCAGCCGAGGAAAGATAAATTGTATTCCAGTGTCCCAATCTAGCATCAACTTTATCAATCAAAATTCTGTAATCTCCATTTCTTAAAACATTATTTGACAAAGGCAAACCAAGGTACCTGAAAGGAAACTTCTGCACCTGAAATTTCAGAATTCTAGTAAGTCTTCTTCTACCTCTCACAGCCTTAGAGAAAATAATTGAACTTTTCTCTTTATTAACCTGCAGCCCAGTTACATTCTTGAAAACACCCAAAATGTCTGCAACAGCTTTGATAGAGGCCACTTCAGCTTTCACCACCATAAGCAAATCATCAGCATTGAAGGCATGTGATATGTTCAAACCTGTTTTGACCACCCCATCACATCTCTTTATTCTTCCATCCTCAATAGCATTAGTTATAAGATTAGAGAAATATTCTGTCACAAATGAAAACAACAAGGGAGACAAAGGACACCCTTGTCTGAGACCTTTGGAAGCTTGAAAGAAACCTGTAGGCACACCATTGCAAAGCACAGAAAATTTAGCTGAAGAAATACACCCCCTGATCCATGTGATCCATTTCTCACTAAATCCATGACTGTGAAGTGCATTCTGAATAAACCTCCAGTCCTCTGAATCATATGCCTTTTTTTATGTCAATCTTTAAAGCAACAGATGGGTCCCCTTTCTTCCTACCAAACCTCTTGAAAACACCCAAAATGTCTGCAACAGCTTTGATAGAGGCCACTTCAGCTTTCACCACCATAAGCAAATCATCAGCATAGATGGCATGTGATATGTTCAAACCTGTTTTGACCACCCCATCACATCTCTTTATTCTTCCATCCTCAATAGCATTAGTTATAAGATTAGAGAAATATTCTGTCACAAATGAAAACAACAAGGGAGACAAAGGACACCCTTGTCTGAGACCTTTGGAAGCTTGAAAGAAACCAGTAGGCACACCATTGCAAAGCACAGAAAATTTAGCTGAAGAAATACACCCCCTGATCCATGTGATCCACTTCTCACTAAATCCATGACTGTGAAGTGCATTCTGAATAAACCTCCAGTCCTCTGAATCATATGCCTTTTTTATGTCAATCTTTAAAGCAACAGATGGGTCCCCTTTCTTCCTACCAAACCTCTTGACCAAATCAGTTACAAACAGAAAATTGTCATGGAGTCTCCTATTCTGTATAAAGGCAGACTGTTCAAGCCCTATCCACTTAGGGAGCACACTACTCAACCTATTAGCAAGAAGCTTGGAAATAATCTTGTAAGTAATGTTACACAAAGAAATGGGTCTATAATTTGCAATTTTGTTTCCATGATTACAGTTAGGGATAAGAGTAAGAAATGTTGAATTAACACCCATTGGAAGGATCCCATTATTGAAAAAATGCATAACACCACTGACCACATCCTGTCCAACAATCTCCCAAAATTTCTGGAAAAACCTAGCAGGGAAGCCATCAGGCCCAGGGGCTTTCTTTTTAGAAGATGCTTTGCCCTTCTTTATCAGGCTTGAATTGCATCACAACATTTTTAATTTCCTCAGCAGAGAAACAATGATCCATGGAACAACTGTCTTCCTGAGATAACACCTTTCTGGAAATAAACCCTTCATCATTCACTGCCCCAGACTGATTGTATAAATCATCATAAAACTTCACTAAATAGTCCTTAATTTTAGTAGGGTCAGTAGACACTTCACCTGTAATGTTTTCCAAAGCAGTAATTGCATTGTTACTTCTTCTTTGCTTCACCACATTATGAAAAAAAGCTGTACATTTGTCTCCCTCCTTGAGCCAATTAACTCTAGACTTCTGAGCCCACATAATCTCTTCCAAGTCCAACATATGTTGAAGCTTACTACTAGCCTCCTCCTCCTGCTCAATCAGAACAGCATTAACTGGATCTTGCAAAATCAGAACTTGGAGAAGCTCCTCCCTAGCTGCAAACACTTGCTCAACTGTACCCCCCTTTGCTCCAAATGTTCTAGTTTCACAGAATTTTATAGGTTTCATGCACCAGTAAGTGATGAATTATGTATCCACGGTTTTAAGTTTTAGTAGGTTTACATGAGTTTTGATGGTCAAAGTTTCTAAATTTTCCAAAGAATAAGTTCAAGTCCTATTAGAGTTAAAAATACCTTCAAGTCTATAATTCTATATATAGCTATGTAATGTTTATAATTCCATAGAGAAGAAGTTTTAGAGAAACATTCCATCAATTATATATTTGAAAATTGTTTTCTGCATTCCAACTCTAGATGCGATGCGTACAGGATTTTAGGAGTGATCATTGAGTTTGTTGTTTTTTTCAATGTCAGTAAGTCTATAATTCGATAGAGAAACTTTCCATCAATTATATCTTTGAGAATTGTTTGATGCATTCCAACTCTAGATATGATTCTTACGGGATTTAAGGAGTGATTCCTTAGGTTTTCGTCATTGTCTTCCTTTGTATTTTAATTTTCTGCGATTTTAAGTCTTTTAAAAGCCTGTTACTTAATCTGACCCTTGTATTACCCTTAAAACCCTACTTGGCATGACTTAACTCATACCTTTGATGATCATCAACGGTAGCATGCATAAAGGGTAAAAAACAACATATTTTCTAGAGGCATCAATACTGTGTGATTAGATATGTAATTGTCATTTAGTTTATTTATATTTATTTATGAATTAAATTGGAAATATAGTTTTGAAATCAATTCTTAATAATTACAAAGAATCAAATAATTTTTGGTAAAAGTATGTTTATTTATATTTTGTTAGTGAGAAACTCCTTAAATCACTCGCGCACTTTAACTCACACTTATGCTCATTTGTCTGAGTTGTAAACTTTAATTTAAATAAGACTGTTTGTTGTTGTTGTTTTATTCGTCTGTAGAACTAAGATTGTGGTGTCTCCAGTGATCAATTACTCATTTTTATTCTATGAATTTATAATATTCTTTGATTATGTAAGTGTACTAAGGTCCTGTCACACCTTTTCATGCTCAAACACCCATTTGCTGTAATATAATTCTCCCCTGTTAGAACATCACTTGTTTTTCGCTTGACACACCATTGTTATGTCGTACCATTCATTTATGAACTCTCTCCGTGTCCCTGCTTCTAGGAATTATCATCAACAAAATCAAGCATCCAGCAAGATATTGAATCCTTGAAGCAGAGACTTCTCTTCATAGACAAAAGAGTCCCAGAACTGGAAGCAGAAAAGAAAGTTGCTGCTGCTGCTAGAAATTTCAAGGAAGCTGCGCGAGTAGCTGCTGAAGCAAAGACATTGATTGTTGAAAAGGAAACTGTACAGATTAAAATGGAGAGGGCCATATTAGAGCTTGGGAAGCTTGAGGAAGAAATTTGTGACACTGTTAACAGGCTGCAGGAAACTGAGGAACAGATTTTGTCCAAGGAAAAAGATGTTGCAATGGCTAGATTCCAGAGGTTACTTCTGATTGCCGGTGCTGCAACAGCCGAAAGATCAGCTGCTTTAGAATTAGGTGACCTTGAGGAAGCTGACATTCTACTTGCAGAGGCTGAAGCTGCAGACTCTGAAGCAAGAAAACTTCAGCCAGTTTACAATTTCGTGGAGGAAGAGTTCGCAACTGTACCAAAACACTTCATCTCCATGGAACTTATATCCAATCTTGGAGGGAAGCAGCTGGTTGAATTGGCAGCATCTGCTCATATTTCTGCAATGTGATAACTGCACAAGTGAGGCTATTAATTTTGGGATGACCTATTGAAGAACTTATGGTCTCAAAATTAATTTTTGGAGCCTTTTGCACAGTGAAATAGGTATATAGGAAATATTCGAGGTATGGGGCTTTTATTAAAGCAACATACGTTGGAAGTGAAAGTATTTGGAGGATTGGAATTTTCATCCATTTCCGTTCAAGTTTTGAATCCTTTGATTTTAGAGGAGTATATCTTGTACATTACGAGTGAGAGCCAATCTTGATTTTGGATATTCATTTTCTTTTCATTTTTCATGTTTTTTTTTTATATATTTTTTTTTATATTTTTTTTTGTGGATACCTGTGTCATATCACTTCGGTTGGGGGTTGTTTGGGGGATAAGATGATTTTGGATTAATTGATTTGTTACATTTGTCACTGAATAATTCTCTGTATTATCAGTACATGTTGGCCTGCTATTTTTTGCCCAGTGGATTTTCTCCATAGAAGGTTATTATCCAATTTTAAACGTGGGGTGAAGGTTTTGGGCATACGATCAGACTTATTTTGTTCAAACTATCACTTCATTTAGCTTATACGTCCTCTATCCCGATTGAGAGAGATGGTATGCTTGTCTGTTTGGGAGGCTATACATATTTCCATCGAATTACTGCCTTTGATTCACAGCATTTGGAACTGACGTATGTACTGTTAGTCATCTATGACATTCGGTGAGGGTTGCAGTGGTTCAAGTTCCTATAAGAGGAATTTGTGTTTGTTTAATTAATTATTTATATTTTCATGGTAAATAATTTTCAGAATGCTGTTGGGGGAGACTTGAAGAGGAGAAATATCATTAGGCCACATATATTGGTGTGTTATTTGCGAGGACTAAAGAAAGGGTGTAAGCCGAGTGAGCTGTCGAGTGAGGAAGGGGTTGGTTCAAGTGAGACTTGATCGGTTCTTTGCCAAAGAGTCTTGCATGCCTTGCACCACCACAACACTGGACAATCTCTTCCTCCTCATCATCTATGATTATCTGATGTTCCTAGCTGCTACGTACCCCTCCAGTGGAAGGGGGTTCTTGTTGGAGATTCTTGGACCTCGTCTTGTTGGAGGACATCTCAATTTGTTTAATTTTGATTTGGATTTTGCTTATGTTTGGTTGCTCAGAAACTGAAGGAAAGGAAAAGTTAAGAGAATACCCCCAATTTGGTATGATCTGAATTATTTGGGTTTCACCAGACTCGAATTGGTAGGCAAAACCCCCAATTTGCTGTTGATGATCTCGAGGAATCTTCCATGGTCAAATCTCCCTCTCTCTACGTTCTCCCTCTCATCTCCTCTGCAAACCAATTATGCTAATCTCCTCTGCAAACTAATTATGCTATCTGGGTTTGGCGTCAATGGAGGTGGGTGGCGTACTGGGGTCACACTGAGAATGATTATATATATATAATCATTTATAGTATTTGTTTTATGTAATATACTAAATATATTTAATTATAAGAGTGAAGGGCAATTAAAAATATAGATATAGTATTTATAAGGAGAAAATAATGAACTAAGAGAGAAAATATGTGTGTATATATAAAGTATTTATAGAAAGAATATTAATTAAATAAGGGTATTATATATATTATTATATAGAGAAATGAGGGAGAAAATAGATAAGGGGTGGAGGAGAGTATTTATAGAAAGAATATTAATTCAAAAAGGGTATTATATATATTATATATAAAATTTAGGGAGAAAATGAGTAAGGGGTGAAAAAATGTGTGTGTGTGTGTGTGTGTGTTTATATATATATATGTATATATATAGAATATTTATAGAAAGAATATTAATTCAATAGGGTATTATATATATTATATATAGAAATGAGGGAGAAAATGTAAATTATTTTGAGAGAGGAGAGGAGAGAATTAAAAAATATATATTTATATTAAAAAGAAATCATTAAATAAGGGTATTATTATATATAGAAAATGAAAGACAAATGAGTAAGGGGTAATTTAGGTAGTGTAAAAGGGTAGTTTGGGCATTAAAGGGCATTTTTTAGTCACATGCCACTTTAGGAGGTTAGAAGCTCTTATTGGCACAATTTTAAAACTACAGGGTATTTTTGAACACTAGGAATGTTAGTTGCACACTTTTAAAACTATATAGGTATTTTTTTGCACTTTCCCGTGCTAAAGTTGCGAAGAACCACAAATGGGTTCTTAAAATTCAACACAAGAAGAATTCAAGAAATGAAAAGAATTTTACAAGATGCCAAGAATCAAGCCCATTTGAAAACCCATATTTCATAATACCAATTCAAATAGAAAGAGAAAAAGGGAAAGCTAAAGGCCCAAAAACCTTAAAGCAAGGAGTACCTAAAAAAATATGAAGAATGTGAAGAGAAAAGATGAAAACAAAGAACTGCAACTATCAAAATGACTGGAAATAAAGAGCCGAGGAAGTAATAACAACGAAAATAGCTACAACAACCGCTCTTTTCTCTCACTACCCTCATTCAGTACTTTTACCAAACACTGTGTGTGTCTGTCTCTCATTCCAGCACTCGACCAGAGTAGAGAAAAGTGCAATAAAAAAGAACCTCATTCCATTAAATTTTCATTTACTACCATTGGCAAGAACTTTATTGTGAGGGTTTTTGGGAAAATGGGTCTCTGGTTCCGAACCATTCGAGACACCACCATTGTAGAGTCACCGAAGGTGTCCTTGTGCTGTAAATTGTGCCATTAAGGGCCCGTTTGGATCGCGATAACGCTATATGTTATGGTTTGATATGATATGAAAACAACCGTTTTAATATTGATATGTTTTTAGTATAAATCGAAATCATGTTTGGTAATGACTGTTTTGTTTTTGATAATTGTATATCAAAAACATGAAAACGCATTTGGTAATATTATGCGTTTTAAGAAATTCGAAAACAAAACACGTTTGAGAAGTTAGTTTTGTTGTCAAAAATTTTGAATCAATAATATGATACCTGTTTGGTAAAAGACTGTTTTGTTTTTGTTTTGAATAATTATATATATGAATACAATTATAAGTTTATATGTAATAGTTCATTTTTCTTTATGATTTGAGATAATTTGTTAAAATAAAAAAATATATATATATTCTACATTAAAGATTCGGGAAAAAAAATTATGAATAAATTTACATGTATAAATAAGATTATGTCGGATGTTTATGAGGTATAAACATGATTAGTGGCAACCAAACTACAAATCTAACTTTGTAATAATCTTTCAATGAGAGATCTTTGAACTCCATTTATCTTTTTCTTTTGGCTTGCACTCCATTTAACTTTGTTTTGTTTCATATATATATATATATTATATAAATTCAATATGAATGAGAGAGAGAGAGATCCTTGTAGTTGAAACTAACAAGAAGCAAAGCCAAAACATTGATCTTCTTGAATTAGTCAGAGTTGAGGTTTTGTGGACATTGAAACTTGTGAATGGTTTTACTTCACTGAGATTAGTTGGAAATTTTTTACTGGAGATCCTTCAAAGTGCTAATATTTTTATTGTTAACTCATGAGACCATTTCCCCTTGTTTTGAGTATTTATTTTGATAACCAACTTCTGAATATTTTATACAATCTCCAACCATAACCAGAATTGATAAATATGAAGAAAGATTAAAAGCAAGCAATCAAGGAAGATCCCTCTCTTACAAGACTGAACAATAAATCACCCCGACAAAAATAAAAAGAGAAGCATGCCATCAAACAACCTGCTAGAAAAATTATTGCCATCCAAACAAGTACTTGAAAATATTTTGTATGATTTTAATCAATTATAAATAACACACCAAACCACAAGTTTTTTTTGTACATCACAAACTTAATAAATTGTTGTTGCACCATTCACATATGTACTTGCACATATAGGGAGCTAGACATTCCTTAAAAATTATATGTGTGTACACACACACACACTTCATTATACTTACATAACATGTACACACATCTGGAGATCACTAACATTCATTCCATAAAATGTACACACACTTCTTTAGACTTGCATAGGTCTCCATTTGATTAACTTAGAGATCACTAGCTTCCTGGAGTTGCAGCAACTGGAGAATGCTTCCTATAAATCCCACTAGTGCCATTACCCACAACTTACTGCCATGTCCTTCAAAATATAAAGCAGAGTTAGGTTGTCAATCTTTAAAGGCTGTATTCTACTAAGCATTGAAACAACAAAGAGAACTATATTCAACTCCACCAAGAAAATCAATAAAAAATTGTCACTAATCATAGGTTCAAAAAATTGTTATATATTTCACAGTTTTTCTACAGTTATATATTTCAAAAATCCATTTCAAGTTTCAAAAATCAACCACATGCCTTTTTGGAATCAAAGTTTAAATTAGTATATTGAAGGACACCCTCCCATTTGCAGCAAGACATGAAGCACTTCCAAACTTCCTTAGCCAAGGAAAAAAAATATTTATTTGTTCTTAGTGTTGAAATGAAGCAACCATCATAGCCTAACAATTCATCTGAATAAGTTCAGGAAAAGGGGAGAAAAATGCAGTTGTGCTATCAAAGTTTTAAGTATGAACTTACCTGGAAAAAAAGAAAAAGAAACAACAAGAAGTTCGAAGTATGAAGAAAAAAGAAACCATGGACTATATGTAATATAATTTTAATTGTAAATGTCAAAGTGTAAAATTATTTGTAGTTGTAGAGCACAACCCAAATATTGTGAATTGTGAGAACACCTTTTTATTGTTCTCTAAAAATTGCAACTATCAATTTTCAGTTTTTCAAAAACTATTTCCACAAAATAGATCCAAGCAGAAATAAAATGAAGTTTTCTGTTTTTTGTCAACTGTTTTCATGGAACCAATCCAAGAAGGGTCTTATTATTTATTTTTGATGCTTCACAACTTATTATGCTTTTTTGCAACGAAAAACTGACAATAAACCCACTTATAATTATAGCAAAAAAAGAAAAAAGAACTGGCACAAAGTGATTGCATAAACACAAATTTAGAACAAAAGAGAGTGAGAGTGAGAGTGAAAGAGAAAGACAAACACAATCAGACAATAACCTCAAGCTCAATCAAGGGTAAAACACAAATTAAACATCAGTACTCAAATTTGTCAATAAGGATTGTATTAAAAGAATTCGCTAAGTCACTAAACCAAATTAAGAAAAAAATTATATTTAAGAGTTTTTGAATACCCAATTGAAGTCCTTACCAAGGGTAATGCTAGGGGAAAGACCAAAACTAGCATGGGTTGATATAGTGAAGGCAAAATATATATGGCTAATATGTATGTGTATATATTTCAAGGTCTGCGATGTAGTTTATAAATATATTTTAAAAATTACGAATATTTTGTTTCAGAAGTTAACTTAAATTTTATTCGTTTTTAGTATTTAAAAATAAAAAAAAAAGATTTATA